GACAGAGTCTTGCTCTGTCACCCAGGCTGGAGTGCAGTGGTGCGATCTCGGCTCACTGCAACCTCTGCCTCCCAGGTTCAAGCAATTCTCCTGTCTCAGCCTCCCGAGTAGCTGGGACTACAGGTGCCTGCCAACACGCCCGGCTAATTTTTTGTATTTTTAGTGGAGATGCGGTTTAACCGTGTTAGCCAGGATGGTCTCGATCTCCTGACCTTGTGAGCCACCCGCCTCGGCCTCCCAAAGTGCTGGAATTACAGGCGCCTGCCAACACGCCCGGCTAATTTTTTGTATTTTTAGTGGAGACGGGGTTTAACCGTGTTAGCCAGGATGGTCTCGATCTCCTGACCTTGTGAGCCACCCGCCTCGGCCTCCCAAAGTGCTGGGATTACAGGCGTGAGCCACCGCACCCGGCTAATTTTGTGTTTTTAGTAGAGACGGGGTTTCCCCATTTTGGTCAGGCTGGTCTCCAACTTCTGACCTCAGGTGATCCACCCGCCTCGGCCTCCCAAAGTGCTGGGATTACAGGCATGAACCACCACGCCTGTCCCCCAAAATTTTTATTTTTGTTTCAAGCCACTACGTTTTGGGCTAATTAGCTACACAGCAATAAATGGAACAGCAACCATGATAGTAATAGCAGATTTAGACAAAAGTCCTCAGTGGATGCAAGCAGTAATGGGTAAACTTTTAAGGAGGAGTGAAGACTTTTACATAAAGTGTCTCCTCTCCAAATATTTGTTAATTACTGAGGGAAAAATGGTAACTTCACAGTGGCAGATTCTGGCAGAAATCAATTTAAGTGATCAAAGTCAGCATCATATTGAAACAAATTAACATTGTACGCATCAGTATGCTGGCAAATGTGTAACAGCTGGCTGGTGGGGACATGGATTTGTAACATTTGCTGATTTTTGTGGCACAAAACCTCCCACAAGCCCGGTGGCATGGCTCATGCCTGTAATCCTAGCACTTTGGGAAGCCAAGGTGGGAGGATGGCTTGAGGCCAGGAGTTTGAGACAGGCTAGACAGTATAGCTTGATCCTATCTCTACAAAAAGTAAAAAGATAAAGAAAACTTAGCCGAGGTGGCGGTGCACCCCTGTAGTCCCAACTACTTTGGATGCTGGACAGGAGGATTGCTTGAGCCCAGGATGTAGCGGCTGCAGTGAGCAGTGATCCTGCCACTGCACTCTAGCCTATGCAACGGAGTGAGACGCCCGTCTCAAAATATATATATATATATCCCATCAAGACCAATTTCAGACTCCTAAAGGTTTAGCAACAAGCTGGAAGTGTAACATTTGGCCCCATTCATGTGCCCCTGGTGTGTACACTGAGAAGGACAAAGCCTTGTTGCTAAGGTGCTCCTCTCAAAAGTGAGCCTGAGCCTCTTCCTAGGGAAACATTAAAGGAACCTGAAATGAGGGATAGTCTGTGAAATAACTGGCCTATACTCTTCAAAAATGAGGTTCCAAAACACAAAGGAAGACTAAGAAACTGTTTCAGACTGAAAGAGACAAGAGATTTGACAACTAAATGTAGCTTGTGATCCTGGATTGGGTTCTGGACCAAAAACAAAACAAAACAAAACAAAGCTCAGCGGGGACAGAGCCAGATACTAGCATCTTTTCAATGTTAATAATTTTCTGATTGGGATGGATGTGCTGTGGCTCCGCAGGAGAATATCATTGTCTTTAGGAAAGGCACACTGGAGAATCTAGGGATAAAAGGCATAATATCTGCTACTTAGTGGTTAGAAAAAAATAGGATATATAGAGAGAGAGCAATTAGATAGAAACAGAGAAAGAATGATATATCGAATCAAATGTTGTAAATGTTAATAACTGGGGGAACCTGGGCAAAGAGAATGTTAGAGGTTTGTGTTGTTCTTGTTATTTTTGTTTGTTTGTTTGTTTTTTGAGACAGGGTCTCCCTGTATTGGCCAGACTGGAGTGGAGTGGTGCAATCTCAGTTCACTACAACCTCCACTTCCTGGGCTCAAATGATCCTCCCACCTCAGCCTTCTGAGTAGCTAGGACCACAGGCACACCCCACCATGCCCAGCTAGTTTTTGTATTTTTAGTAGAGATGAAATCTGGCCATGTTGCCCAAGCTGGTCTCAAACTCCTGGGCTCAAGCAATCCACTCGCCTCGGCCTCCCAAAGTGCTGGGATTACAGACGTGACCCCTGTGCCTGGCCTGGTAAGAGTTTTTTGTACTATTCTTGCAACTTGTTTGAAATTATTTCAAAATGATCAGATAAATGCTCCGTGGACATTTAGTTCAATAGGACTAGGCCTATGCAATGAGGAATAAAGTCAAGAAGAAAGAACTGGGGCCGGGGATGGTGGCTCACACCTGTAATCCCAGCACTTTGGGAGGCCGAGGTGGGCAGATCATGAGGTCAAGACCAGCCTGGTCAACATGGTGAAACCCCATCTCTACTAAAAATACAAAAATTAGCCAGGTGTGATGGCATGCGCCTGTAAACCCAGCTACTCGAGAGACTGAGGCAGGAGAATCACTTGAACCCGGGAGGCAGAGGTTGCAGTGAGCCAAGGTCGTGCCACTGCACTCCAGCCTAGGTGACAGAGTGAGACTCTGTCTCAAAAAAAAAAAACAAAACAGAAGGCAGAACTGGACACAAAGGCAAGACTATTGCTGGTTCATTTTGCCAAATCATTTGCCAAATCAGCAAGTCCAGGCCAGAGGCTGTCTGCGTCTGCCTGTGCTGGAGGTCCCCTGCAGCCATGGCAACTTGCTACAGAAGTCCATTCTGCTAAAGTCCATCTTTACTAACTATTAAATGTAAGTTAGTGGAGTTGGGACCTAAAAGAGATCTTCAGGGATTGGGTAAGGGACTGAATCACCTGCAGAGTTAGACAGGACTCTAGAGGTTGTCTTCTTCCACCCAGGCACAGCTTGTGGTTGCTGACTCCTGGTCGCAAGGCTTTTACCAGTTCCCGGAATCAAATGGTGATAAACTAGGAACGGAGAGAGGGCTCGCCGCTGCCTGAGAGCTCCATACAGGTCATGGAAGATGGCTGAGAAGACATTCGCATCCACCTGGGGCTTTTTTTTTTTTTTTTTTGAGACGGAGTCTGGCTCTGTCACCCAGGCTGGAGTGCAGTGGCCAGATCTCAGCTCACTGCAAGCTCTGCCTCCCAGGTTTACGCCATTCTCCTGCCTCAGCC